TAACTTTTCTCTTTGTAACTTTACTTTCTTCTGCTATTATCTGTCTGCTGCTTCCCGCTCGTCTCACGTTATTTATATCTTAAGCACCTCATCGTCTGTCCACCTTCTATATTCTCGGCGTCAATGTATTGCACGCGACGTTCAATAGTCTCAACATCAATGAGTTAACAAAACCTCCTACAATCGTCTTCTTTTAACTCTTATTATAGCAAAAAGCTAAACAGTAATAAAATATACACTCACAAAAACAAATCAACCAATAACATCTAAACTAAACAGTCTTTTATATCATGACAATGCTAATTGTCTACAGAGATTATATTTACGTTTTCAAAAGACTTCCGTATTTTTCTGTTTACAAAAAAGTATTTAGAGTTATACTTTGTAAATATATGTTATAAATATCTAACAAATTCATTTCATTTAAAACTATCTAGCATATATTTACTATAGATAAAGATATTTTTATATGCTATTAGATATCTTACAGTAATTAACTCATTTTCTAGGTACAGACTGCTCTGCGAAACGCTTACCTGCGCGCCATCTTACGGCGAAATCCCAATCATCGGTTGATGCGTGGTCGTGGCTTGTCACGTACATCTGCTACTTATCTATCAAGCTATGATACTACCTTCATTGATGCTGCTCGTCACAAGGTATCACCCTCTTACAACACTGTGGTACCTCTGCGCGAGATAACCGAGCCTGAAGAATATTTTGAGAGAAAAAGATCGGAACCCTCAAGATTAAATTCTGACAATGGAAGAGTATTTACATTTTAAAGAAAGAAATTGGAAGTATCGTCTGTGGCTGCGCCATCTGTTGATAATATAATGAACTACAACATTGAGGAATCTCTTTAAAAACCTAAAGATAATATAAGTGTGTAATGTATTGAAAAATACAATGCTCTTTTTCGCCCATCCTTTACCAGAAATATTAACGGTTAACTTTTAACGTACACAACTATCAAAGTAGCACATTAGTAGGCTGTAAACCTGACTTAATCTCAAAATATTCTAACCGTGTAAGAAATAAAGCCATGGTTTAGGACAAGGTACTACTGTTACTCTTGTAATATTATATATTTCCACAAATTAAGAGTAGAAACATCTTGCGTTGTACTTGAGCGTTCAAACAGAAACGTGCAGAAACGGAACTCTTCAAAGTACATGAAAAAAATAGTCTGTGTATCAACTACTCTACTGGATTTGTGTTTAAATATGATCGCTGTTTTTGATGAACAATATTAATATTGTCGTTTACGATATTATACTAAGTTATATAATTAGATTTGTATAGGACTTATTCAGTGTTTCTAAATGTGGATTCCAGTGTGCCGTTTGATATTCATGCAGCTTTATAGTTGGATTATTCCAGTGTTCCAGTGTGTCAGCTGATAATCATATAGTTGATGGTAGGTTCCAGCGTGTCAGCTAATATCCACATAGTTGATGGTAGATTTCAGTGTGTCAGCTGATATCCACATAGTTGATGGTAGGTTCCAGTGTGTCAGGTGATATTCATATAGCTGATGGTTGGTTTCAGTGTGTTAGCTGATATTCATATAGCTGATGGTAGATTCCAGTGTGTCAGGTGATATTCATATAGCTGATGGTTGGTTTCAGTGTGTTAGCTGATATTCATATAGTTGATGGTAGATTCCAGTGTGTCAGGTGATATTCATATAGCTGATGGTTGGTTTCAGTGTGTTAGCTGATATCCATATAGTTGATGGTAGGTTTCAGTGTGTCAGCTGATATTCACATAGTTGATGGTAGGTTTCAGTGTGCCAGTTGATATCCACATAGTTGATGGTAGGTTTCAGTGTGTCAGCTGATATTCATATAGTTGATGGTAGGTTTCAGTGTGCCAGTTGATATCCACATAGTTGATGGTAGGTTTCAGTGTGTCAGCTTATATCCATATAGTTGATGGTAGGTTTCAGTGTGTCAGCTTATATCCATATAGTTGATGGTAGGTTTCAGTGTGTCAGCTGATATTCATGTAGTTGATGGTAGGTTTCAGTGTGTCAGCTGATATTCATGTAGTTGATGGTAGGTTTCAGTGTGTCAGCTGATATTCATGTAGT